TTTGTGTGTGCATTGTAAGAAAAGAAGTTGGAGTATTTTTCCTGTCTTTTTTTGTATTATCTAATCTTTTTTTTTCAAATATCCTCCCCCTCCTGCCTCACTCTCTCTTTCTCTTCTTCTTCCCCTCCTGCCTCTCAGTTGCGGAGCCCATGTGGCTGCCTGGCTGAGCTATGCAGGAGTCAGCTGAGCGCCAGGGCGGGAGGCGAAGGGCGTGACAGACGCTCCAGGCCCTGCCCAGCATTATTTATTCCACGATTTCTTGTGGAACCCCTGATGATGGTCCGCGGAACACCGGTTGGGAAACAGTGGTCTAGAGGCTTTTCTCCCTGCCGCCCCAATTGGCTATAATTGCAGCCAATGGAAGCAGCAGGGGTCAGATCCTGGAAGTAGTAGGAGACTGAGATACAGAACCATATGTGTCCCTGGGAAGCTGTGCCAAGTGAGTGCCACCCGCCATTGCTCAGACCATGCTCCTGCATCCCCCTTCTGCTCAGATTCCTCAACCTCCAGCCTGCTCCTACACCCTCACTTCACTCCTGCACCCGACCTCCTGCACAGACCCTGCTCCCCCACTTTGCTCCTGCACCTACCTCCCACCCAGACCCCTCACTCCCAATCCACTCCAACACCCCCCTGCCACTCAGTCCTCTGACTCCCAGTGCACTCCTGCACCCTCCGTCCTGCCCAGATCCCACACCTCAAGCCCACTTCCCAGCAGCCCCCTCCTATACACTGAACCCCTCATTTTTGGCCCCACCCCAGAGCCTAGGGGAGCCCGCAAAATCTACTAGCCAGTGCTCTCCTAGGCTCTGGTATATGAGGTAATGCTGGGAGTATCTTTCTCCTTCTCAATTGGAGTCACGTCAGTGAAGGTTTTTTTGTTTGCTTCTCATTTTTGTGTGGCCACTGAAGCAAAAAAGGTTCCCCACCGCTTATATGATGGTTAGGAGCCTCAGGATTGTCGATTGTCTTAAGTTTACCCGGTCTCCACAATTAACAAAAACACAGATAAAAGATAGAAGGTGGATAAAATATGCTATTGAGAGTATGATTTATGAAGCGATTGAAGGACTGTTACTTGAAATTTTATTTAAAAAAACATGCTGTGATTTTGCTTTGTCATTTAAACTGAAAAAGTTAATATACGATCCTGTACTTTTCTTGTTTCAATTAATGTACATTATTTAATATTAACTCTATATACCAAGAATTCCAATTTGTGTTGATTATTGATAAAATTCTTTTTTTGTTAAGAGATTTATTTTTTTTGGCCTGAGTGTCTTTGTGGTACCTTTTTGTCTACTGGCAGTAGGAGGGGTTGATTTATTTAACTGATGAAGAGCTTTGTATGTGATAATTTTGGAACTGGAGGTATTTACCCTTTCAGTAGTTGCTGTGGCTCCGGTCCTGTAAATAGAGCTGCATGGGTGGCCCCTGCTGAAGTTTGTGCGGCTTTGTGCAGGTGCAGGCACCTGCTCACGTGATTGTCATTTCAGGATCAGGGCCCATGTTTGTAACTCTTTTAAAGTATTATAATTAAATGGCATGTATAGTCTCTTGAGAGGAACATCATTCTCTTGATAAAAATAATATCTGGTAGCTTGTTGTGAAACATCAATCATGCCTGGTACAGCTCTTCCTCCTCTGTTTTCCCTCCTTGCTATCATCTCTTTGCTGTCCATTAATGGAAATACACTGTAACATCACCAGAACTCCATTAAGTCTGTTTGTTGTAGAGAAGTAATACAAGGTCTTTGGTTGTTAGGATGAATGAAAATACAGTGAGCCAAATTAATCCCTGGTGAAGGCCTATGTACTTCCCTGGCTTTGCACCAAAAAGAGTTTGACCCCTTTATTACTGTAAATTACAGAAATTTAAAATGGTTATTAAATGATAAAAGTTTCTTTTCTATCAATTATACAGAGTATTTATTCTTTCTGTAGTATCAGAGATGCAGACTCTGGGACAGATTACATGACGAGCACATCAATGCTGGACGTACTGTTCAGGTAAGGATATTAAAGTGGCTATGTGAAATTAATGGGATTAAATGTCTTTTTATGCAGTGCTAGATGAGATGAAGGATTTTGATACCGATTAATATTTTATAGGCATCTGTTTCTGCTTTACTTTAAAGTAGTTACCCAAAATGTGGCCTGAGGAGCAAATGTAGCCATAGGCTTTCTCTTCTTGTCAGCACAGAAAAAGAACAAAGATGATACTCTACTGTGTTTATTGCCACTAAACTCAAACCATAACATTTTTCTGTTCTTCTACTAAGGTATAGATGCAAGTAATTTTTCTGATGGTATGCCCTTATTTTTTATTTTTAAGTACCGTATGTGTATACATTCAGATCTGCAGCTAAGTGTGACTCTTAACACCTGAAAAATTATTAGTGCAGTCTTGTGAGTTTTAACACTGAGGTATCTTATGTCATAAATGTAATTAGAACATAGCAATTGTTAAAATGGAATGGATATGGACTCAGTTTTCCTACATAATTAGACTTAAATAGATCATCTGCTCTTAGATGCATAAATACCCATTTT